TTTTCCAGGTGTATATATTTCTGACAAAGCCCCCTTTGTTTTATTAAGATTACTTGAAAGACGTTATTCTAATGGAATGTAAGTACTTAAATTCATAAAAATCACGCGCCTTTCTAAGTTATTTGTTTGTTCGCCCAGCCAAATGAAATATTATCTTATATAAAAGTGTTTACATTTACCGATTTTTGTGCGACAAAAAAAATGTGATTTCTGTTTAAGCCTAAAAATACCAGTAAGTTAAAATATTAATATGTATTTTTGAGAATATGACAAATTTATTATGGAACTTAATATGCCTTACAGAAATGTCCAAGCTATTTTTTTATGATTCTATCTTATTTATTGAAATACCGACTTTATACGTATAGTTTGAATTGTTAGCACTATGTGTCGCCCCTATCGCTGAGGCTTCTTCGCGAGGCAGTCAGTTATCTTTTGTATTGGCTAACGTTCATTAGATTATATCTGTTTCTGTGTTGTTTTTGTCATCTTCCATTACCTGTAGTATCATTCATCCACGCAATGATTTACTTCAATTTAACATTAAGGTATTTACTGATTGTTTTTACAGAGAATGGTACTTAATGCATCAAGGAAGGCATAGGTCATTCCCGATCTGGATTATTTCGATCTTGTAATTCCTAAATATTATGTTTGTAGCATCCTAAGTGTTAAATTTAAGAGTAACTTGAGGAATTGATTTAAAATTAAATGAAAGGAAGGATAAACATGAGCATGGAGGAAGAATTTATCAAGTTTCTTGATTCGTGATTTAGAAGGCTTTCTCTATAAATTTAAATGGAGCACAAGTGGATTGTTTTAGAAGTTCCATAAATGCCAATCTTGGTGAAATGGCCTTGAAAAAACTAGCGCTGGAAGTTCTGAGGATGGAAAGGTTACACATATAAATATTTTTGTTACTTATAATCTCCACTTTCATTCCAAAATTTACGTCATTATAACATATTTAACTTTATTGTATTTTTTATTCTAAAGCAAACTTTCCTTTGTGGCTTCATATTATAATGTGTTAAATGAGACTGGTATGACTTGACTCTGTTTCATACTTTTTTAATTTAAAACTAATCTTATCTTCGCGTATTTTACTGACGTATAATTGCAGTTACACTTTTGGTCATGTTGTGTGTAATTTTCATAATGTATACTTCAAATATATAGACTTAGACGTAACAAAATTTCACCTAGCAATGCCGCAAAATAAATATATGAAACTATTTTCACAAAAAAAAAGGCAGGACTAGAATGTTGGCAGGTTGAATCGTTCGAATGCCACAAAGAAATTAAGAGTGAGATTTGAAACAAATTAGTTACTCCACAATAACGTTGGTGAAACGTGTGATAAAACAGACTGACGTTAAGATCTATTTTATTAGTTTCCGTCACATAAGATAGTATCAAACACTTTTTCGTTAATAACATCTAGGCTTCGGTTGATCTTACACGTCTGCTGTTAAACCTTCGTAGCCAATTCCCTCAGGGTAGCTTACACGTTAGATTATTCCCTTCTTTGTCATTCGTCAGCGTATTTGTAAAGAAGTATTACTTAGAAATGTAATACTTTCACACTGAAAAGGCTGTACGTTGGCTTGTTGCAACGGAGCTTAGGGTAGTAGCAGTTTTTTCACACCGTGAGCAACCAAAATATTAAGGAAAAGTATTTTGAGGCTTGGTTTGGTTTGAATTTTGTGCAAAGCCACACGAGGGCTGTGTGCGCTAGTCGTCTCTAATTTCGCAGTGATATACTAGAGGAAAAGCAGTTTGTCAACACCACCCACCTCCGACTCTTGGGCCACTCTTTTGCTAAGAATAGTGGGATTGACGGTTATATTAGAATGCTCTCACAATTAAAAGGGCTAGCATGCTCGGAGACGGGGATTCGAATTCTGAGGCTAACTATGATCTTTGTCAGTCTCATCATGTCTTAATTTTTGTTACAATAAGTTATCTGTATTACGTTGTATTTATTCGTATATTCATATAATAACTTGACTTTTAATTTTTGAAATACAATAAGCTATTTCAATGCAGCAGCTTGTAAAATGGAAGTAACTATTATACAGTGACTGTACGTTATATTCAAACGATTTTGCACCCTTTTCCACTTCCGGTCTTGTCAATATGACGGCAATGCATCTTGTCAATAGCCCTGGAACGTAGTTACCTTTGCTAAAAGCACCGTCGTAAGACTGTCATGTCAAAAGCACACAACTGCCCCCAGCAGGCTTTCAGTAACCAACAAGTTTCAACAGTCCAATCACACAGAAAATACGTGGGCGTTGCGCCAGGCGATGTGGTGCTTATGTCTTTTTTATGAAATAGCATGAATACCCGTTTTATTCTTCAGTTCCCTGAGGTGTGTAACTGTTAAGCGAATTTGTAGTAGAAGTAGCTTCTGTATATAATTAAGACTTTCTTTGATTATGTTGCATACTGTTACTGTTACCTGAAACACGTACACAGCTTTTGTTACTGAATTATGTGTTTGTGGATTCTCACCCATCTAAAAGACTCCATGTTTTGTCTACCACGGCTGGGATACTTGTTGCAGGGCTCTTTCTCGGTGGCTCTGGTACCCCAAGTTGATCCATATTATTTTATTTTCCAGTGCCTTTAAGCTTAAGGAATATTCCCACTTTGGAAATTATAAACCCTTATACGAACAAATTTTATGTATACAAATATATGAAAAGTTTGCGCCGGAAAGAGCTGTAACTTACCTTTTTCAAAAGCGATGCATTTTCAGTGGCACCACTACCTACGAAAGCTAAACAGAGTCAAAATATAGTTTATATACATAGCATCCCACAGCGACTTTATATCGCCGGTGTTTGCCACGAGACTTGCTGACTTAAAAAAAGTATTTAAAATCGTTTTCATACATTGTATTCAATCATCTGTATATTTAGATTTGTGGATATATTTTAAAAAATGTCTATTCTTCTAGAGAAAATGCAAGCACTAACATTCTAGACAACTTATTGTCACGTATGGAACAATACGCCAACAACTTGGAGTCTCTGGTTGAAGAACGAACGGCAGATTATCTGGAGGAGAAGCGGAAAGCGGAAGACCTGTTATACCAACTTTTACCAAAGTATGTTCTTACTTTTGCTCTAACGCTCTTTCATACTGTATTATCTAGGGCATATCATTTTAGTTTTTATGTCGTTATCCTTAAGATGCTTTAGTATTTCCTTTTGCTTTTATTGTGTTGCTAATGCTATTATTAAAGTTTTACAGTAAGACTTGATATTTGTTATGTACGGGGGTTTGCGTATATAGTAAAGCCCTGTATTATTTCACAAGAAACTCAAAAGCATGAATTTTGAAACTAATCGATAAGGATTCAAGTTTGCTTTACTTTTTGAAAGTGTATAAAATGTGTGAACTTATTTTATGATGTCAACACACAACTTGGAAGTTGTTTTTCTTTATTGTCAATGGTTATTTTTATAATGAAACAACAATTTGTTTTGTTTTTACTTTCATTTAGATATTGTTATTCATAGGTCGTACGTTTAAGTATTAAAAGTTTTGTCCCCCGGTGGGACAGCGGTAAGTCTACTGATGAGTTATGGTATTGTACGAAAGGCCTCATGGGTTTGTTTGTTTGTTACGGATTTCTTGCAAAGCTACACGAGGGCTATCTGCGCTAGCCGTCCCTAATTTAGCAGTGTAAGACTAGAGGGAAGGCAGCTAGTAATCACCACCCACCGCCAACTCTTGGGCTACTCTTTTACCAACGAATAGTGGGATTGACCGTCACATTATAACGTCACCACGGCTGAAATGGCGAGCATGTTTGGTGTGACGGGGATTCGAACCCACGACCCACTAATTGCGAGTCGAGCGCCCTAACCACCTGGCCATGCCGGGCCTACCTCATGGGTAAGGACTTGTAAAAGACACTGAATAATTAAGAAGATTGTGAACAAAAAGACTAATGTTTTGGTTTTGTTGTAGTTTTTGCATACCAGGTGCGTTTTTAAACGACGGAAGTGCATTTTGATTGGTGATTAGGAAAATCATTGTTATATCTTAAATGTGTTGTTAGCTCTGAACGATAGGAAGAATGAATTACTCATATTTATAATGCTAAAATTTGTTAATGATAATGTAACAACTAAATAATTGTTTGTAACGTATATCGTTTCTAATACGGATATATTTTGAAAATTTTTCATACGTTTTTCAAATGTACTTGTGGTAATAGTTTACGACTGTATCCTGAAAATCAAAACTAAAACTTACAAGTGAGCATGCACTTATTCTTGCATCTTGTTACGTTGCATTATTATAAGTTTATTGATATTCCATTCTGATAAACACTAAGTTCCGTAGCATGATAATTATGATTAAGTATAAGATCGTGGTATGAAAATCAAAATTAAAACTTATAAGTTAACACGCACTTATTTTTCCATGTTGTTATTATTACATTAACATAATTTTTATTAATTTTCTAACTTCTAATACATTAAATTACCGTACCATAATAAGAACGATTAAATATTTATTATTCTAAACTTTACAAACCTAAAAAAAGAGCAATACTTTAAAGTTAAATTTAGAGCTATTTGGTAAGCTGGGAAAAAATCCATATATTTTAGTTTTACAAAGTTTTCTAAGTAGGTGTATTTTCATATTGCAACGTTGCATTAGGTTTCTTAGTAAGTGTATTTTCATATTGCAACGTTGCATTAGGTCTCTAAGTAAGTGTATTTTAATACTGCAACGTTGCATTAGGTCTCTAAGTAAGTGTATTTTAATACTGCAACGTTGCATTAGGTCTCTAAGTAAGTGTATTTTCATACTGCAACGTTGCATTAGGTCTCTAAGTAAGTGTATTTTAATATTGCAACGTTGCATTAGGTTTCTATTTAAGTGTATTTTCATACTGCAACGTTGCATTAGGTCTCTAAGTAAGTGTATTTTCATACTGCAACGTTGCATTAGGTCTCTAAGTAAGTGTATTTTCATATTGCAACGTTGCATTTTCCGAACTTAAAGTACACTGGCTTCCAAAACCCAATATTAGATCTGAGAAATAAAGAGTTGAGTATTGATAAACACTATTCTAATCCCACTGAGCTGAAATCTAAGAATAAAGGTAAGAGATTCAGTCAAAAGTCCCTACTACTATCTCTGTAGGTTGTAATAAGTCTAATATTCGATGTTCAGTGATAATTATATGGGGAGTGACAAATGTTACTCTAGGTGCTGTTGCAATCTATCAACTTGTCCAAACCAATTCATCTCAATCATTGGAGTATATACAATAATAAAATGCATAAAGCTATTAAGAAACTGACCTTTGATTTACAGATATCTATTTTCCAAATGTCAGTTTTTATGCCTTTTTTTTCTCTCTTTATATCATTGGTGTTCGTACATTCATCAGTCATGTTTTTTACAACACATTTAGCCATTCGTTTAATACAAAGTATTTCATTTCCTAGGGTTATATTTTAAGTGTTCATTTAATCCTTTCACACAATAATTATGCAATGTAAAATTAATTAATATTACAGAAAACCCTCTAAAGGTATATAATATGTTAAAATAATTGAATATTCTAAAGCGTATTTACATTTTCTTCACGGAGTTCGTATCAGTGAACTCAAGTCACCGAAGAGTGAAAATGGTATATGATAGATTACATATACCAATGCTAAAAGAAAAGTAAAATTTTTGGAACCGGTATGGTCACAGAGCAAAAGCTTAACACAACCTTAAGACATATATTCTTGAAACATATAGTAACCATATATATATATATATGTATGTAATTAGTATCTTTCCTCCTTTGTTAAACACAAACAGCATCTCAGTCCTCAAGATATATATATTATAACTATAACTATATATATATATATATTTAATTAGTATCTTCCTTTCATTCAATATATATGTGTTTATGTATGACTGCAACTGTCATATGCAGAAAAAAAAACACTTAATAATAACGTACGAACATATAACATTACATTTACCTATTAGTTATTAATGCTCTAGCACCAACACAATGATAGCGGTACCAGAATGTTGTAAAATGGTACCCTATTTTCCCAGGGGACGACACTATAGACGTTACAAGCAAAATAACTCATGCAACTAGCGAAAAAAAAAAGTGCAATTTGTGACTAAAATCAAAACTAAGGCAAAACTCGAATTCTTGTTCTCTACATTTATGGGAAATACTTTTAAGCGACATGGAACAAAATCATAAAATATATTTGGATAGTGTTTATTCTCTAAGTAGGAGAAGTACAAAGATATACAGGCAATATGAGAAAATGTTACTGCCTAGCCTAGGGTAATAATGCTGTACGATAATCATAAAGCACTCGAAAATGTTGAATTTATATCCTCGTACCCATGGCAACAACACATAGATATGTGAGGGCAATAGAACAAAATGTTGTCAGGGGACATCAAGGAAAAAATTTATATAAGCTTTTTTTTGTATAGTGGGGTACTTAAATCTCCGAAATATTGGGTCATGCTATTCGCCTATAAGTAATATCCAAAAATGATATATTTGCACCCTAGTAATAGATGTAACATTAGTTCGTGTTAAGCCTTTCAAAGATGCCTTCTGCGATGCCTAGTCATTGAAACTTATGCCAATGTCATTGATTTGTTTTCTCTTTGGTGTACTTGCCTAGAAAAAAGAACAAGTTTTTTATTCACATAAGAACATAATACCACAGTAATGTTTTGAGTATTATGGTACATAGACAATAGATTTTTATTTTAGTTTGTTGTTAAGACAAATTCGTATCTATGGAAATAAATTCTACCTGTGTAATTGACATCTCGGTATGTGATATCAGTCATGTTTTATACGGGTTTGTGACTGTTTTACAGGCTTACAGTCAATATCAGAAATGTTTGCTTTAACAACGTTTCTCAGCAGTTTTGATCAGCTTTGTAACAAAATACGTTAAGAAGAGATTGCGAGTCAATAATAAACTTTCGAAAGACAGTTAACGTATTAACGATAGAAGTTAGTGGTTGTACTTACAACGTAACGTTCATTGTGCACCCAGTAGGAACATCTAAAGGGCAGTCTTGTGACACTGTAAAAGTTCACAACAAGCAAGTTACTGTAAGGTAATGTCAGATTGGTCTGAAAACGTGTATGAATAAAACAGAATCGAACAACAATAAAAGTCTAACTCTAGTTTTACAACCTGTTAGAATGATGCCTGCTACTTACTGAAATAACGTAAGTTCACGCATTGGTGAACCAAATGAAAGTCTAAATCTAGTTTTACAGCCCGTTAGAATGTTGCCTGCTACTTACTGAAATAACGTAAGTGCACGCATTGGTGAACCAAATAAATGTTTTTAATGTAATGAGTGCGACCAGTTTTGTAGTTTTTACTCTCTCTTGGAGATAATCTTAATTTTACGGTTCTCTTGGTTGTAAACTTTATTTAGGTATTTTCATTTTTATGTCTACGGTCTTTTAAGAGATTTTCTTTCTCGACCAAACTATGAGACGTCACCAAACTAAGATATAAAATGCATTTCGATAGATCATATTATTATTTTTATAGTTGTTAAACTGTTCATCGTAAGTTCTTGCAATGGCCTAACAAAAAAATATTTTTTCTCAAGACAACAGTTTATTGCTACTTTACTTGCACATTTTCTTGGCTAGTTAACGCTAAGCTTAAGGTTAATTAACATAGCAAACAAACAAACGTAGCTAAAGCTTGAAAAGCTACCTGTAAGTAGAAAACAAATTGGTTAGTATTCACTCTTGGAGGCCGTTTGTTTGAAATATTAACCGTATTTCTCTTCTAGTTATTTTAACCATGTTTGTAATAGCCTCACATTGTTTTAGGTTATTTGACGTACTGTTTGTGTTAGCTAGAACTAGTTTTTAACGTTTAAACTAACACGTACTTAAACATACTAAGAAACAAAGGCATATTGAAGACTTACAATAGTAGTTAATTAGCTTAATTTCCTTCAAAATTATCTTTCTACTTTAGATCAGTTGCGAGCCAGCTAATCCGAGGAGAGGCGGTCACCGCCGAAGCGTTTGACAGCGTTTCAATCTACTTCAGTGACATTGTGGGTTTCACTTCACTCTCTGCACAAAGCACACCTATGGAGGTTAGGAAATTTTCCTTTGATGCATAATCCAGATGACTACCTAACTGAGAGTATGATTTTATTAAAAGCGTGTTTCTCTATAATCTATATTAATTACTATATGCAGGCAGAAGCCATTATTTCATGATCTACTTTCAACTTCTAGAAATTCCTTTTCTGTTTAGTTTAACCTCGAAAGATCTCGTTGTCAGTTTTGATACGCTAAATTGCGTAGGAAGATGTAGAATTTAGTTATACTGTGACGACGGGTTAAAGGTTATCTTGTATGGTAATTCTAAGCCAAAAATAATGATGGATTAATCATACAAGTAATAATTTTATTTAAAACTTAAGAGAACTGATTATGCTATGTATTTGTCAAAATACGCAATACGCTATATACCAAGAGGGAAAGTGTTGAATTAGCGAACGTATACAAGGGCTAATAAGACGTAAATTAAACGTAATTTAGAAATTATATAGTATAAATATATATAATTGAACTAGCTTTTTTTTTCTTATGATTTGAACTGAGCTATTAATACCTTCTATGATATTAGAATCGTCATATATATACGATACAATAAGTTTGATTAAGTAACTTTGAATATATATATTCTTAGAACAAATTACTTGTTACCTTGTAGTTTACGTAAGTGCTAAAACATTATTATTATACTTTTAAAAGTAATATTTAAAATATAGTATAGTAAAGGTTCAAACGTGTCAGGTACAGTATTTTCAAGTATTGCGTGTTTTTAATACTTGACTTATAAATATATAGAAGTTGATATGGTTATTTTTAAGCGCAAAACTACTCCATGGGTTATCTCTGCTCTGTACACCACGATTATCGAAACCTGATTTTTTAGCGTCGTAAGCCTGCAGACTTGCCGCTGAGCCCCTGGTGGACAAATGTATACAGGGAAAAGTAGCTATTTAGCATTTTTTATAAAAAAGTACAATTTATTTATATTTACTCCGGCACGTTTGATAAAATCAAAACTCTTTATCCTGGTGGGTCAGCGAAAGTTTGATGATTTAAAACACCAAAATCCGGGGCTCAATTCCTCGCGATAGACAGAGTGCAGATGCCTATGTGTGTGTTTAGCTTTGTACAATAATAATTACTATTACCTTAACTTTTAACCACACCGCTGCATCACAAACTATAGCAAAGTTTCATTGATTTACTCACTATATCGCATACGCTGAGTGGTC